TAAAAATCTTGAGCTTTTATAGTTAACATATATTACAAGCACATTTGAAACATTTATTACAAAACCTTCATGGTATGAAATATTTATGCTATGAAGTTTTGAGAATTCCCAAACACTTATGTGGAACTCTTTATTATTAGTTTTTAAAAAAAACAAAGGTAAGAAAACTTTTCTCTATGTACAATGAATGATAATTTCCTGTGGTTTCTGAACTACTAAGTTACATTATAGTTAAAAGTAAAAATGTTATAGAATAATGGCTAATTATGATCATCTGTGCCTCAGATGATTTCTCACTGCCACTTAAGCCTACACCAAGCCTGTCCCCTATGGCAACAAGAAAAAAATCGAGAAGTATGTAGAGTACAATAACCCCAAGATTAATCATGTGAGATAAATTGTTATTTCTTTGACAAGAAGAACATGGAGGTGTTTTTTATTTAATGGATTAAAAAAATTAATGAAGATAGAATTATGGGACACAAAAGCAGAAATGCAAAAGAAAACAGATAATATTTAAAAGGTCTTCTAAGAATCACCAGTTTTCAAAATCTCAGGAATAGTTTTTTGGAATTGTAAAGGCAATCTGTACAATGAATAGAAAATCTGCATTCTGGTATATCAATCAGCAAATCTGCCATTTTCTTTTATTTCCATTTAGATAATAGTTGTTCCATGAACTAAAATGCCAAAGGTCAAATTCTCCCTTACATTCATAAACTGTAATGACCCACCTTCTGAGTCTTATTATACAAATTTGTTAAAAAGTCAGTATATGGAGACATATCACTTCCATCTATGCATAAATGCGAATGGTACTCGGCAATATAAGGAAAAGTAGAGAAAATACGAAGAATGTGAAGATAAAAGGGGTTTCCAAATGTTATTATTTGGAAGTAGCCATGAAAGAAAAAAAAGAAGGAATTTCAGCATATATAATAATATTGCCAAGACTAGAGGGAGGGAATTTTAAGCAGGGTCAGTAATGTCAACAGCTTGAAAAAAAAGCTAAACAAGAATTTTCAGTTTACTATATGATAGTCTTTGTTGATTTTGCTAGAAATACTTTTAATTGAGTTGAAACTACACTTCAGTGAATAGAAGGATAGGCAAGAATAGAACCAGTAAAAGATCCAAATATCTGAATAATCTGGAGACTACCGGAGGTCCAGAGGTTGAGGAAGGCTTCAGAAAGACTTTTTTTCATTTGTTTGTTTATTGGTTTTTGTTGAATGTTAGCTAAACAACTAGAGCTAGTACACAGAGAGTAATTACAGATATATGAAGCGAGCCCTAAGATAGATTGAACTGCAGAAGAAGGGTCACTCTACAAATAGGCAAGGGATTGATAACAGGGTAAGAGAGACATGTATCATGTATCATGTTATATGTGATAGAAAAGTACATTGGATTTTCTACCAGATGACCTCCATTTTCCCATTAAAATACAATAAAAGGTCACCTGTGAAAATCCACAATATAAGGGTAGAGGTGGTAAAGAACAACTACTTGGAGCAGAGGAGAATGGAACACATGGCCATACACGGGAAAACTGCAGCTATAAACCAAATCTCTTCCAATATCTGTTTTGGTGAATAAACTGTTACTGGGACTGATACTTATTTTATTTTTCTGCCTATGATTACTTTTGTGCTACAACAGTGAAGTTAAATGGTTATGACAGAAATTTTATGACCTACCTACAGAGGCTAAATTATTTACCAAGTACGTTGGCCATAAAGTCATAGAATTCTGTCCTGATAGGGTTTTGAGAGCATATTTTAAACTAGATGAAAATAAATAAAGTTCCAGACAGGATGGTCATCAATTTGTTGAAGGAATCTGACATCCTAATTGATACAGAGTAATGGAAAAAATTGGCACATTTATCCTGTAGAAGACTCAGTTGTCTTCCCTAGAACAGAATAGTTTGGGTATTTCATCTGTACATTTAACTCTATGATAAATCAGAAATACCTCCACCTTAATGAGAATGTAATTCCTTTCCCTGATTTGTAATTGCTTATTTAAGGTTATTTTTTCCTTAATAGGATATGCATATATGTGGTGGTTTGAATATGAATAGCTGTCATAGATTAATACTGGTCCCTAGTTGGTGGAACTCTTTGCGAAGGATTAGGAGATGTGGCCTTGGAGTGGCACTAGGAGTGGGACTGTTGTGATGGGACTGGCCATGCTAATTCTTGAAGGAATGTAGGAGAGTTTGGATTGTGAACTGGAAAAATCATTGAAATACTGTAAGTAAAGACTAATGGGCCATCCTAACAGGATGTTGGAAGATGGCATTGCTTAGAGTCAGACAAACAATGGATGTCTGACTCAAGAGGTTTCAAAATTCACAGTTTGAAGAGAAAAGCAGTAATGGAAATTTTACTGTTGGAGCCAAGGCTTGTACTAAAGAGATAAGGAGATTGTAATCTGCCTGATCCACAAAAGAATAAAGGAAGGCTGCCCCCGCCCCCCGTAACTCAGGGCAAGACCCCATCCACCTAGGCTTCCTCAAAAACAGCAACAAAGGAAAACTCAAGCAAAAGTGATTCAATGGGGCCAGGCTACATCACAAGCAGGCAGCCAAACTTAGCAGTATTGTCTATTTCACATTATGATATGCCCATATCGGGGCTGGGAGTGGAATGTGGTAGTTTAAATTCAAATGGCTCTTATAGGCTCATATATTTGAATACTTATTCTCTGAGTGGTGGAACTATTTGGGAAGGATAAGGAGAACATGGTCTTGTTGGAGGAGGTGTGTCACTAGCGGTGAGCGTTGACATTTCAAAAGACTCATGCCATTCCCAATATGTCTCATCTTCCTGCTTGTGGAGTGAGGTGTGAGCTCTCAGCTGCTACTCAGGCCACCATGCCTTCACTCCATCATCATAGACTCTAACCCTCTGGAACTTAAGTCCAATTAAACTCTTCCTTTATAAGTTGCCTTGATCAAGGTAGTTTCACAGCAATGGAACCCTAACCAAAACAATACAGAATGCTCTACAATTTGTTTTCTCAAATAAGGTCATTATTCTATTTCCTTTCCATACTTGCATATTAGTTTCAGAATTTATTTGTCATATTAAGAGAATTTAACCTTGTTGCATTTGACCATGTTAATCTAAAAGAGGTCACTTAAAATGAAATTATGGTGCATTAGATCACAAAGATGAAAAAAATCGTATTCTTTTTCCTATAGCACTGGCATTATATTGATAGAGTAATGGATTTCAGGAAGTTTGCAACAAATTCAAAGTTTTAGTTTCCTAGATAGAGTAAAGCCCTGTATATCTTCAGCAACAAGATAGGAAATGCTGACAAGTGCCCAGAGTTTGATGTGCCTGCTGACAAACGAGCCTTTGTGGGCTTGTTTGTCTCCCACTTTTCTTTTCTATCTTAGTCCCTTAAAACCAAGATGATTATCTGATTTTTACCATGTCTGTCAAGTCTTTTCACATATCTGACTTTGAATGAAATTCAGATAACAAGTCAGAGCAAGAGTGAATACAGAATGTTTTATTGAAGTTTGAATAGAATTTGATAATTGGTAATCACCTCTTTCTTAAAGTTAGTAGGCAGTTCAATAAACAGTCTTTTTTCCATTTTTGAAAGCTTAAAGGATGTCTACATTGATTGATTGATTAATTATATAGGGGCTTGGAGAACTAAACTAAGATAACCATATCCTGTTCTTTTATTAAAATGCAGGGATTCAAACTAGGTAACAGCAATATTAATAATCTTCATTAATCTGAAACAAGATTTATTGATAGGAATAAAATCCTAACTCTAGCTGGTACACATCTTTGATCCCAGCACTAGAGAAGCAGTGGCAGGCAGATCTCTACGAGTTTCAGGCCAGCCTGCTCTAGAGAGTAAATTCCAAGACAGTCAGGGCTACAGAGAAAGTCTGTCTCAAAAACTAAAGAAAGAAAGAAAGAAAGAAAGAAAGAAAGAAAGAAAGAAAGAAAGAGAGAGAGAAAGAAAGAAAGAAAGCAGAACAAAACAAAACCTTAACTCTAGCACTATGTCATTTAAAAATATATTTTAATATAAAACATGTGCTTAAAAAGTATATTTGACTCCATAGTATTCTTAAAAATGTAGCCTATATTGTTTAATCAATATAATACTTATCAGTATATATGAAAAATGTTACAGATTTCATTCTCCTCATTGTTGTTAGAATAAACACCAGTGAGAATCTGTATGTAGCAAGAGGTTAAGTTGTGCTTGCCCAAAAACAAAAAAAATGGCATTGACAGTATAGTAATATATACCTAATATGAATGAATAGAATAGAAAGGGCCTCTATATCTTCCATATTTCTACACACAAAATAATGATAATGAAACGTAATTACTCTGATTGGGAAATATTTTACAAATGTCCTAAAATAGCACATTCTACACCAGAAATAAGACTGTTGATCAAAAAAATTCAAACGTGCCTAAAAGGATGGAAATGTTTATTTTCCTGATTTGAACATTATATATTGTATGCAAATATTGAATTATCACACTGTACCCATAATTTTTGACAATTCAAATAATTAAAATAGAAACAGATGGCATTTTACTAGCTGAACAGATTAGTAATGAATACTGAGGAGTACTTCTCAAACCAGTTTTTGTGTCCTCAAATTGGTCTCAAGAGGAATCTCATTAATTTCTTCAGGAATAACTGGGGATAGATATGGCTCTGTAGTTAAGGAACAGGTTTGTTTCCTATAGCTGCAAACTGACTATTTAATGGTGCCTACTATTCCAATGGCACTGTCTGTTACACTTTTAGGTATATTACTGATTCTACATTGATCATGCTAATTTTACATGATTACATTGGAAGAGCTATAATCGTCACCAGAAAATAATTTGCCTGTCCAACTGATATATTTCCATCAAAGTCATAATCTATATCAAAAAATCATACATTTTCTTTCATATCAGATGAAAACACAAATTGTAAAAACATGCACAAAGACTCACCGAGGTGTACAAGTATCCCTCGCTGTTCATGGCCAAATACAGCTTGGTTTGAACTCCTTGGATAGCCACCACTCGAAGACCCACAGGGATGAGGTTAAACAGAGCTGAAATGTCAAAGAATGGGAAAATGTTACAGTTCCAAATTTCATGGCTTCCCAATGTATTCCATAGTAGTGTCTGGCTTCCTAAAAGCAGTGTAGAATAAATGACTCTAGACATATGTATCTAGACACATACAAATATAGCTATGTTCTACTTTCTAGTGTATTTGACTACTGATTATATTCACTTAAGTGGGTCGATAACATACTGTCAAACATTCTAGGGAGAATGGAAGACTTCGGTGGAAACATCCTGAATTTTAGAGCACTGGAGGTGGGGAATATTTACATTTTGGGTATGGGGCCAAGTATCAGGAACCACTGTGTATACTAAAATAGCATTGTCCTTCTCAAACTAAGCTCTAAACCTGCTGCTCTAGACAGTTGCTGAAATGTTCATGGGCCTGTTAGATGGAACTACCAGTTGAGAAATACCTACACTCTTAATGAGACACACTGCTTCAACATTTTCATTTAAATTATTTGTATTATATACAATGCAAAAACCTCTAAATAAATCTGGATCTTGCAGAAAAAAATTTTGTATTCCTATATTCCCAGAGTAGTATTTCTAAAGAACTGGAATTTGTCAGGATGATAGAGTTGAGCAGGCTCCTGGCATTTAGTCTCAAAGATAATAGGTATAGGAATAAAAATAAGCTATGGAAGAAAAGTATCATTTGTTATTTTAATGTGTCCTGCAAAAATCATTGCAAGCACGCTAACACGGTCTTCACTGCTTTGTCTGAAGGTCTTACTGCATGAAACTTACACCCAAGCACTCCTCAGCACCACACACCTCTCACTGGAGACAACCAGTGGGTGTCCTCCCACCACCAGCTGTCTCTGCCCTCCCACACCACGAACAAAAATAAAACAGTACATTTTTAAAACGTAGTGTTTGCCACACACATCTTTTGCAAATAGCCTGTGCACCTTTCTCTCAGGAGTCATAGACAAATGTTGATGATTTTGCCCTGTTTTGCATATCCCTTAGGGATGATAAACTTATCTGTTACTTTCATGAACAAGAATTTAAAGGTATAGCTCCCATGTATAAGTTTTTTTTTTCTAGAATCACTTATCTTTGAGCATATAAATATTTGAGCATATATAGGTATAGTAGGTTTGGGAGTATGTGCAAAAATGTCAATAAAGAACTAACAAAATACCTCCTGCAAAGCCTACAATGTATCTTTCCCTTACAATCTGGTGCTATCAAAGAGGAGGTAGGACATATTGCACAGTTGAAAATACAAGTGTTCCTACCACATGCCACTGATGGCACTTCATTCGATAATCACCATATAAAATGCTGTGCCCTTCTGTTACAGGAAGTAAAGAAGACTAATTGCAAACGTTGCTAGCCAGCATCATGTGCTATATCTGACAATGCAATGTACAAGATATAAATCTAATATCTTTGAGCACATCATGTATAAGTCATGTCTCATTCTGTTGATGATACTCTCCTCACTGGAGATACTCAAAACACATTTGTAGACTGGTACCAAACTATATGGTAGAACCATGATCATTGTTTTGGGAAGTATAATAGATGGCAATCATAGATCAAAACTCTGAGACTTACCATAAACTAAACAAAAAATTTCAAGTGGGTTGGTTTAAAGTTAATATCACTACATGCTAGCCTACAATTATAAAACCAACATTGCCTGAAACCATATTAGGTTGTCATAATAGATAATGGAAATAGATAAGAAATGAAACTCAAAATTTTTCTAGAATCTTATATTATAAAACAATATACTGAACCCTCTTAGTTGTATGAACATAGCTTTTAACATCAGAGATTAGATTGAAGAAAGGGATAGAAGAGATTGGTAAGGATTGGATGTTTGTGTTGATTTTCACTGCTCTCAGACTGTGGTTTAATGAAAATTGAAATGCCTAAAGTTCAAACAATTCACAATTAAAGGAGGAGAGAAGCATCCAATATCAATCCATAGTGTCTATTCTTGAAAAGTGATATTGAATTTGTAGGAGGCCACTTTTCACTATGTTTCCTAAATATTTATGAAGCTGGATACATAGACACAGACATAGACATAGATACACATATACACACACAAACATGTGTGTACCAAAACTAAAGAGAGTAGAAAATGTGAAGTAGTTGGTCATACATAAAAGTCCAATATTTCCTTTTAGATAATCAAGATAAATTACAAACTGAGTTGGCTTTTAAGCTTTCCAAAGGGGCAAGCTTCCTAGATAAAAATACAAAATGTTATAGCAGAAGGCAGATTGGACAGAATCACTTCCTATACACTGTGGTCTTGCTGTCTTTCCTGTCCTTGAGATGGACTCTTGCTTTCTCTGGCAGATCTGAGTCTTGTCACGCAGCTCAGGCTCACCAGAACTTGTAAGTAATTCTCCTGTCTCAGTCTCCTTGGTATTAAGATTGCAGGCTCACACTGACTGACACTCACAGCTTTACTCCACTTTCTCTAATTTTGTAATACTTTTTTTATGGATTTAAGATGTATCACAAATAATTTAATTTCAGGATTAGTTTAGTCAGAGGCTAAACAATATCAATTTCCATGGAATATAAACAATACATGTAATGTAATCTAAAGTAATGTTAATTTCAGGACAGATGTATTTTTTTAAAGTCCAGAAACTAATAGAGTTTTGTTATGAATAATCTCAATAGTAACCAGCAACTTCATCTAGAGTGCACCATTGGGTCGTATGCATTGATTCTGTTCAGGCTTGCTACTTTCTGCAAGAAAACTGAACTCACAGTTAATAGCGCTAGACAATAACAAAAGGGTATTATTTTGATCAGGATGAAAAACTTATTAATATGAAGAATAATTAATTTTTTTGAGTTTCTAAAAGACGTTCATTAAGTAGCTAAAATCTTTTCAACTTCATCCAGATTTCTAGAGATTTTTTGGTTTGTTTATTCTTGCATTGTTTTGTTTTTCAAGTTAGGATTTCTCTGCATAACCTTGGCTGTCCTGGAATTCACTCTGTAGACCAGACTGGCCTCAAACTCAGAAATATGCCTGTCTTTGCCTTCCAAGTGCTGGGATTAAAGGTGTGCACCAACATGCCTAAACACTTATTTATTTATTTATTTATTTATTTATTTATTTATCTATTCATTCATTCTTTCTTTCTTTCTTCCTTTCTTTCTTTCATTTTGTGGATTTAAGGGAATTTTCATAAATAACCTCCATGTTGCTTTTTAATTGTTCTTGGTTGTGACTACATAAAACCAAACATTTCTAACTTAAGGAGATTCCTTCCTCTAAGATATGTTCCCTTGTTGTTGAACAGTACACTGAAGCTAAAGCCATGCCAGGGCCAGTTTCTCCAAAAGATAATAGTTTAAAAAGCTATTATTTTACTGTATATTGGAGAATCATGGCACACTGAAGTGGTAAAACTATTGCAAGTTTGAAAAAATGGGAAATCTACCTTTTCAAAATCCATTCATTGTACCCAATAATAAAACAGCTCTGATGAAATATCTATCATCTTTGCCTTTTTTAGGGAAAATACATAATTTATAATGTCTTACCTGTCCATGATGAAATGTCATTGGATTGACATTTACCATTATAATAAATCTACATAAAGTAACCTTAAATGCATAGTATCAAGCATGGATTTAGAAACAGAAATTATTTGCTTTGTCATGTGATCTTGTTTACAATATCAAAGTTAAAATGAAATAAAATCAATTGAACTGAACTAAATGAGAAAATTATGATGAAACGAAAAAGGTAAACATAATCTTGGGAATGCATGTTGAGGAAATATTATTAAAATGAATCAAAGTTGAAAAAATAAAACTTGTGTTGTCCCATTCACTTAAATAATCACTTAAAATTAATATTAAAATGCTTGGCTTCGTGGGGGGAGATAGATTTGAGTGGTTACACTTGAAAGTTGATAGATAAGTTTAATCATTTTTTAAGATTTATTTATTTTATGTATGTGTGTACACTGTCACTCTCTTCAGACACAGCAGAAGAGGGCATCAGATCCCATTACAGATGGTTGTGAGCTACCATGTGCTTGCTGGGAATTGAACTCAGGACCTCTGGAAGAGCAGTCAGTGCTGATAACCACTGAGCCATCTCTCCAGCCCAATCAGTTTAATCATTAAGCATCTATGTTCAATGATAGCTATGTGGTACAGTAGCAATGGGGAAGTGAAGTTATCTCCCTAGGCTCTGGTTGCTCCTCAACCCAATGAAGCCAAGCTCTACTGGCCTGCTGGGTTTTGGTGATACTTTTCATTTGCATGGTGCATGTTATGGTAGTATTTTTACCTTTGATTGACTTACTTATGTTTTAATCAGACTAAACATGGATTCTTGTTATCTAGCCATGTTCTTTAAAGGTCTCTGAATGTAATCAGCACTCAGAAATGACATGTCAGAGAGAGTTATAACACAACACAAGAAGAAGTTATGAATATGTAGTAATGAAGAAGCATAACCTTCTAGACAGTATAAAAATCCAGAGTACAAAATGGAGCTGCGTGTCCGTGCACTTCTGTGTGTGTATGTTATTTCTCCTAAAATTAATATGTACAGTATGACCTTTATGAGTTTGTCATATCACTCTTATTAGGAGACAACACACTAAATCATCTATTTAAAATAAGACAAAACAAAACTGTTCATTTTGAGGAAATGCTAGAACCAAATATTTCTTCTCTATTTGAACCTGGACATTTAAAGTAGATAGAAGAAACCAGATTGATAGCTAATCACAAACTTCCCTTTAACAATGATCAATTTCTTGAGAGTAGCATACATCCCTTTATTTCTGCCCCAAGCACCAATTTTTATCTATAACTTGGTGAAACATTTTATTATGGACCACTATGTAGTGATGTATGTTATTTGATTCAAGTAAAGTACTTGGCTTCGTTTGGGTAGTTGTTTCAAATAGAGCAGTATGCATGAAAGAGTAACTAGGATTCGTTATAAAACTTTAATATCATCATGGCAATACAGCATTTGGCAAAGCACTGAAGATCCATTTAATATGGATCCTTTGTTCCTTCATCCTAGGAGCCAAGAGGTATTTCTTCAAGGGTATTTGAAGGTAACTTTCTTTTGAGGTACTATTTCAACCCTCAGCCCAGGAAATATTCTTAAGAGGTGTAAAATTCTTTAATCCTCAATACTAGAACACTCATCTATGGCTTTACTGCCTACAGTTATGCAGTTCCAAAAGAATGAACTACAGAGAATTCCTCAGCAGCCAGACCTACTTTCTGTGGCTATTTTCTCAGCCAACAATGGGAATATTTCTAGGAACTAACAAATCTGAGGGAAATGAATCCAAATTTCGAAAACGGAGAATGAATTATGAGAATCAAGAATTTTAGTCCTCAGAAACAAATGAGTAAATCTGCATATATCTGTAAATTGAAAGAAATGACAATTATTAATATTGAAGATAAGGGGGCATTAATTGTATTTTTGTTTTAATTACTCTAAATAAATATTTGTAGACAAAGGTTATATAATAAACACCATTAGATCACTGGGCTTCAATAATTACAAAATAAAACTCCATTTGGATGCATTTCCTTCTTAAATCACCATTATGGTCTCCAGTTTAGTTTAAAGAGATCCCTTTGCAAAGCCACGTAAGTAACTCATGTTAAAATTATCAATTAATCTCAGAGTTATTGGCATAATATGGCAGGGGCAAAAGCATGTAACAATTAATTATCATGGCATGAAACCACTCCTGACTCTTGGGATGAGGCTCATTTTTAAGATTGGAGATATGCTATTTCAGGATTGCTGTGTGGGTGAGAAATTTTTCTGGGGGAAAAAGTAATAAAATCCAAAGGACAGCCATAAATCTATCTAGATTACCATGGAGATGACATTTGGATCATCCTTCAGACAGTGTCAACATTATTTGCTCTACTTTGTATTTTAGATGTTTCCATTTTCACTTCCTGTAGGTGAGCCTATGCAAACAGGGTTATGTCACATGATCATATTTTGAATTGACATAAGGATTTGGCAAAGTTTGTTTGAATTGAAAATAAATAAAAAGAACCCAACGTCAACAATATGCAGGTACATACTATTTATTTAGCAGTCACTTACTGTAAGTGCTGTCCTCGTCTTTGGTGCCATCAATGGTTCCATCTGCCTGCAGTTGCAAGTGGTAGCCTTGCCGGCTGTATAGTTTGGTAACTATACCCTTAAGCTGAGGCTCTGTAAAGATAACAATGGTTTGGGTCAATTGATAAATATCGTGGAAGAGACTTAGGATTCAAAATTCTACTTTAACATACAAGTTTTAGTGGGGGGGAATCAAACTATATTTTGAGAGTCCTCTGAAAGAAAGAAAACAAGCGAACAAATGAGAAGTTTCAGGGAAAAAAAGGTTAGAATATCTAAAAAACATTTGATTTCTATTTCAAAACATTGGTAATATACTAAAGCTTTTGATAAAGTCTACTATTTCTGATAGCTGGCCCTTTGGTACCTAGTGGCTCAACATTCTTAATGAGTTGGCAAATGGCATAGTATGCCTTCTGAAGAATGTGGTACTTTTCATGTGGAAGGAAAATAAATAAAAAAAAATAATGTAGAGTATCTTGCCAACCAGGTGCCAAACCCACCAGCAATGATCTTAAGAATTAGCACAATTCGTAAAAGGTTATGTATCTAACCTGGAATCCCATCAAAGGACCTCTATCTACAAAACTGAGGCTTCCATACGAGACAATGAGAAGTGGGTAGAAAAACAGCCATCTTCACCCCAATCAGATTTTTTTTCCTTATGGAAAATGGATGTGAAAAGAAGAGCTTCTGTTAATGAGGAGGAAGGAAAATAAAACGTACTTATTTTCAAATTTAATATCAAAAACATGATTACTCAAAACAGGTTCTTGATTAAAATGATCTTCTAGTATGAATCACCATAGATTAATCAAACATTTAATTTATTTGCTTTTATTGAAAACAGACACCTGCATTAAAGTAATATTTATTGGTGTCACATAATCACACGCTGTAATGGCTTTTTAAAACAAATTTAATTCACAGCTTATGCACTACAAACTTTGTGCAAACTGAAGACTTATGCCTGATTTTGGAAATTCCAGGGTAGGTAGAACACACAGAGAAATAACTGATGGATGAGTAAGTCTGATTTGTTGTAATAGTTGTCAAATAAAAGACAGAAAAATGGTGTGAAAGGTTTATATGGTTAAGAACAGTAAATAACCTGCTTGCTCCCCGCACCCCGCCCCCGGCGCCCAAGGTCTACCTTGACGCAACCTGACACCTAAGGCTCTTGGAATTTCTTCTGTCGCGGGAATGTCTTGCCTGCCAGTCTTAGCACTGAAATGTTTCAAAAGGACCCAAAACCTGAAGATGATTTCAGTTCAGTCTTTTGTCTTGTATTTAACGTCAAGTTATCAGTTTTACTAGTCTGACCAGATCACTAAGATCTTTGACGCAAGGTTCTAGAATTATTACCCCCCGCCCCCAGCAAACGCTTCAAAGCTGCCTCACAAGTCACGTCTGTCCCGAAAAGAAAAGGAATGCCTAAACAGTGGAAAGTACATATCCCTTGGGAGTGGAACCTGGAGGGGAAGGGTCTGGCTGGCAGTGATGGAAGCTAGGGGTTCCCCGAGTTTTCCAGGAGGGGTGGGCAATGAAGTCAGCCCTGCTCCTCTCTTGTGATCTCCAAACCACAGGACAGCATGTCTGGGTTACGCCTTCCCTTAGCCCAGGGGCATGCACACTCTTACATGCATGTGACATGTTTGAAGCGGAGGGCGCACCTCCAGCGCAAGCTATGCTCCTGGGCTCTGTGCCTGTCCCAGGGCAGTTGCAATGCAGCAAGCCTGTTTAACTGTTACGGAGGCAAAAAGAAAAAAAGCAATCGCCTTCCCACGCACGCACACCGGCTAGGGGGCCTCATCTGCACAAGCTAGGCTCCAAACTCACCTACGCTTCCATGCCGCCCCCAGCCCCCTTCACAGTCGCAAAGTAAGAAAGGGCAAAGATAAAGGAGAAAGCCCCTTTCCGACCTGGTCTCCTTCTGCGTCTCTTCTTGGAGCCAAAGAGTTTGACCCGGGAAAAGACGTTTAACTTGTTTTTGTCGCAGCTGGTCTTGCCTTTGCTGGGGCTGCTGACACACTTGCAGGCATTGGATTTCTCGCGCTCGCGGGCTTGCCTCTTTTGCCGGATGAGCGAGCTGGCGATAGCCGCCGCCATGGCCACGACGCCCACCACCACCACTTCTTCGGGGGCCCCTCTCTGCCTTCGCCTCCTCTTGCTCCTCCGCTGCTGCGCTGCCACCGGCTCGCGCCTTCGCTGCCTGGGTCTCCTTAGCCTGCGCTTGCTTGGCCGGGGCTCCTGGGCACTCCGGCTTCAGTCGAGGAAGGGGCTCAGCATGCCTTCCGAGCTCCTCCAAAGATGCTCCGGCTCCCGCGCGGGTTCTGGCTGCCTTGGTCCGAACCGACGCCACAGCCCCGGGCCGAGATCGCAGGCGAGACTGGCAGGAGGCAGAGAGCTGCGCTTGTGACTGCGTGCGCTCGGCCCCTGAGCCCTGAGGACACAGTGCAAGTCCAAGCGGCTCGGGTCGGAGTTTCGCGGCACCCCCGCCCTGTGTGGCGTGGAGGGGGCCGGAGGAGGGAGGCGGGCGGAGGGAGAGCGCGCGGGCGGGAGAGAGGCCGCGGGCGCGGGCGGCGGGCGCGAGGAGGGAGGAGGCAGCGCACGGGGGAGCGCGCCCTCGCCCTGGCCCCTCCGGCGCTTCCACTAGTCCTTGCAACTTCGCGGCCTGAAGATCTGCAAAAGTTGGCCGGTGCCAGCTTTCCCGCAGGGATCAAACAGGTAATGGCCTGGCATCGTCGCTGTGGCTGCTGCTCTGGGCGCGGCACCGTCGCAGCACAGGAATTCAGTCGCTGCAGGCACCCTCCAGAAGAGCGCGACAGCCTGGCGGAGGCCCCCTCCCTGCCTCGGCGGCCCCTCCCTCCCGGAACCCAGCTACTGGCTCCCGCCCGCCCGCCGCCCCCGGCCGCCCCACCCCCCGAGTGCAGAGTCCCCGCTCCCACGAACACCTGTAGGAGATCAAGACACTGCCCCGTCACCCAAAGCCCTCTTTCCTTTTCCCTAAAAGAGGCTCGGGGAGAAATGGTGATGGAGGAGGCACTGGGGTGAGATAGTTGCCTTGCAGGAGCTGAGGTTTGCTGGGCTTTGGGGCTGGCAGGAGAGGGGCGAGGGTGTTCCTTAAGTACAGGTCTCAGAGTTAGCCCAGCCGGAGCCGCAGGAAGTTGACCAGACTCCTGTACACGGCTCAGTAATAGCCCACATCCCACCGGAGACCTGCCGAAATATTTTGGATGGCGGCACTTGTAGCCCTTCAGGAGAGGAGGCTAGGGCACACAGACGGGCTCAGCCCCCACTATAGCGGCAGCAGCAGGCACTGCAGAACTGCTCCAGCACACCACGCTGCCACCCAGTGGTTTCTGCTGACTTTTCACTTCTTGTCAAAGTGTGCTGGCCAAGCCCCGTTTTTTTTTTTCCTTGTCGCCCCCTCATCTGGCCATTTGGGAGCCATGCAGTGAGGCTGGGTATGTACCACAGGCAATACTGGGGAAAAGGCATAGTTCAGATCTTCATTTCAGCTCTGTTCCATCTCCCATTTCCTGCTTCCTTCTTTTATCTCTTCCTAAAAACCAGGAAGGTTCATCATGCCCCCCAGTACTGGAATTAACTTGGCCTTTTGCTGGCTTATTCATACTAACAGGTTCTTTCCCTCAGTCTTTGTAAATGCATTAAAGAGATCATAGTTCATCCACCTCAGTATCTTTAGATGCTATGATTTGGCTGTTGTTTAATCTCTGAGGCTAAATAGAAAGCTCTAATAAGGCTCTCCACTTTTTGTACTGGACTCCCTCCTTCTACCCAGATGATTTCAGAATAAACTAAAATGTAAAACCAATGCTTAACTTATTATCCCCAAGCCTCTAAGAAAGCAAAAAAACACATCAGCTTAATTCACGGGAGTGAAGACCCCTGTTTTGCTCCCACTGTGCCTGGAATGGCCTCTACAGTTGGAACTCCTCTCATTCACTGTAATCCTATTTCCTTGTCAATATACACTACATCAGTCAAAATCCATTGAAAATTACTGATGAAGGAGTGATTAGTACTGATTCCAAATGAGAGAAGGGGTGTCTCCTCAAAGAAAGAGCAATTGGTTATATTTCAGGAAATAGGAAGGGAAGTATTTCACCAAAAACTAGATCAGAAGAAACCCTGACCAGGGCCAGACATTTGGGATTTGGGATGAATTCACTCTGGAACCTCATTTAAGCCCCTGCCCTCAGTCTTGAACTCATCTCTCTTTTGGAATTCCTGATCCAGTGTATGAAAAGGCTAAACAAGGTCAGTGGTTTTGTTTAGTAAAGACAGACTTGGCAAAGAATTAGGGAATAGTACAAGGAAATGCAAAGGGCTTTCCTACATTCTTTTCCATTCATTTCTCCTGAAGAACTATTTAGAATGCCTGTGGATTTATTGGCTTCTCTGGGTTAGATATTGTCAGGAAACAGACTCATTGAAGAAGAGTTCAGCATATATAGCCAAGAGGGGCGATTCTCATTACAAAGTACAAGTGTGCAAACATCATCTGCTCCCCTTCTAGTCCTTATGTATCATAAACATTTTTGGTTTTTGACTGCGAATTGGACTCTATGACATGAGTACATGGGTCCGCTAGGCCAAAGCTGACAACGTGAGTCCACAGGTATTTGTAAATACCTTTCCTTCTCTAGTTCATTTCTTCTCAGTTATTTCTATAAACTTTATTTTAGCTATTGCATAACATATAAAAATAAATGTATGAGGGAACTATCAGAGTCCCTTAAAACATATATACATTATGTAATGTTTTACGTTAAAAACTCTTGGTCAAATACTATTTATCATGAAAGTCTGCACGTTTTGAAATAGACAATCCGTTATTGTGTCTAGTCATCCTTCTGTTCAATAGCACACCAGAACTTCTTCCTCCCCTCTAACTGTTACTCACACATTGATCAATCTTCCCCCATTAACTGTGCTAATTCCCAAACAGGGGCATAATAGAATAAATAAGACATATTCCTTGTCGACAACCAAAAGTTACTTCTACTTTTTTATATTCACCACCTCGTTCTTTGATTTCAAAGGGAAACTATGTCTGTATTCTGTTTGCATGTAGACCACATGCATTCTTCTCTCCCCTCGACTAAGATGTCCATGACCCACAGTTCAATCCAGAACATAAAGAAAGACATCTGTGGGGATGGAGAGACAGCTCAGTGGGTAATAGCATTTGCTGTTATTGCATTGGACTCAAGTTTGGTACTAGGTACTCATGTCAGTCTGCTCATTGAGGTTCAAACAGTTTTCTGTCCCCTGTGGGTACCCTCCTCAACATATGACAGACACAGACACACACTAATACACACTCAAACAATACAGCCACACATGCACACATAGACATGCACGTATATACATGGAACAAACGGGTCCCTCTAAATCACATTATCCAATTGGCTTAACTATAAATAAAGCAAGCTTTTTATGGTTTCCTACCACCCATTTCTGTTTCTCATGTGTTTAGTAACTCAAAGGAGAGCATAAATATCAGTTTCAAATCCTCAAAGTCCTATGTATCTCAGGAGGGCAAAATGAAAGACAGAATTGCAGCCCGTCCTAGAAAAGCCTATTTGTCTTTTATTCCCTCTCCACTGCCATCTCAGACCAGTAGAACGGCATTTGAGTGGGAGGAAGAATAAGAACTCGCTTTTGTCACCTGCTTCCAAAACACCCTTTCTCCTAGTTTGCTTTATCAGTAGCAGTTCTGCTATGGGATTTTTGGATACCCTCCAGATTCATAGTTTGAACTCTTCTAGGCTGTGTGGGTCTATTTTCCTTTGTTTCCCACAGACCTGTTTCTCATTGTACCCACCAAGCTCATGCCTTAACCATATTCAGAAAATATATACATTTCTTAGCACTTTTCTCTATTTCTATTCCTAAAGAACTCTATTCTGGCACCCTGCTAGTAAGGAGACATGTTTTGTTTTTGGTTTTTTGTTTGTTTGTTTTTGTATCCCCTATATTAACTGGCCATGTGAGTTTTGTAGGTATGGTATTCTTCCTGCTGTAAGGAGTATCTTGGTCAGTGTCAGTCACTTCCAACCAGAAGTCTTAGCTCCCTAACAGTGGCGGCTCATAAAGTAAGTTCCCTTGACAATGTTTTAAACAGGGCACTTCGACTTGCATCTATTCTGTGCAGTGCAGCTCATTGTGTGATTTCTTTTAAAAATACACACAAAAACTCAATTACTAAAATCAGAATGTTTGAAAATGTCTGGATGAGATGCTCCTTAAAAGGCATTTTAAGTCTGCGAGTCTTGGCTTCATTTTGTGAACATTCCTGCTCCTCCAGCTGCCTTATCTTCCAGTACCTGCCACTTGTCCCTTCCTACCTCATCAACACATAAAGTATCCTTGGAATCCCAAAGGGAAATGCATAAGTCCTCCAAGTCCCCCTCTTTGTGAGGTCATTTTGGAGCCAGGTTTGTCGCACTGTTTTCCAAGATTTTTGGGATTTATCAGAGCATAGAATGCTGATCATTCTCTGTTAGTGTTTTTGGCAGGCCTCAGATGAGCTGTGAGAAGCTGAGGGGACCTGCTCTTCAGAGGCTTCCCCAGGGGGGAAAAAAACAGAAATCCAAACAGATGTGACTGTGATGAGCAGCAACAAGAGAGTTGAGACAGCCTAGTCAGTTACAGTCTTAGAACCTTTTGAGCAGGAAGCAATTGGCTGTCTTTCTGCAACTCTGAAAATGAAAGATTTCAAACACCCTTCCTTCATAAAGATAAACATGATCATGGTCACTAGCCAGTTCCCTCTCATGCTCTCCCAACTCTCTCCCTCTCTGCCTCTCTTCCTCTCTCTCCTCTTCCTCTCTCCCTCTCCCCCCACTCTTTCTTTGCTGCTATTTCTCTCTTAACAGTTTGACAAAACCTCTCCATAGCCAGTTACACCTAAGAGCTAATGATGAGCTCTAGGAGAGGGAAGGGGGTCAGATTCGAGTGTATCAGGGTCAAGTAATACTGGGACCTCCTTACTCACCAAGTAAGTCATGGGGGGATGGTTAGAAGACAGAACAGCAAATAACACATTGTATGATATCTTTAATTATGTCCAAGAGCTT